GGGGGGGTCGTATTGGCCCGCTGGGGAGAGATCGGGCCCGATTGATACAGTAGGATCATCGTCGGAGGACAAACATTAAGGATCGAATCGATACCAGGCCAGAGTATTTCCAATAACAATTGATTCCGTCCACACAAAATCTTCGTGATTTAGAGATGTCCGCATAGCAATTCTTAGTGACTTTAGTGTTTCATCACCACACAAGTGTAAGGATCCGAAATTCGCACGTTTTCTAGGGATATTTTATCTTTCAAGTAGGTCCTCAAATCCAACGAGATGTGAAGCACACGGCGCATCCCAGTGTGGGCCCAGTTGGTTGCGCGCGCTTCAGCCATCGCTATCTTGATAACGAATCTTAATTCAGGAAGAATCAAGGGGGTTCTGAAAGTGTTCAGGTTAAGTTACAGAGAGGAGTACACTATTCAACAAGAAACGCAGCTTTCAGCGTCAAATTCACAAACATGTAACTTTTAAAATTGAGACCCGCTAAACAATTTTACACTTTTTGCAGAGAGAAAAGCACGAGATTTTGAAATCTGCTCCTACTTCAGTATGTAATCGCTCCTGCAAGGAGCTATAGTCGTTGGGATAGTGCTAATGTAGCGAAAAAGTACCTTTCGGCGGTACTCGGGCAAAAAATCCTCAACGTGGCCATTTTTTAAATAGTGAACGTATTTAGCAGTTTTAGTTGCCTTTAGAAAGAGCAAATCTTCTAGTTTATGATGACGTATTAACTTTCCAGATTGGATGAGTTTGAACGGAGTTATGGCTTTGGAAAGCGTAAAAACTCGCACTCATCACGAATTTTCCTCGTTAATTTTGCAAAAATCCTCAACGTGGCCATTTTTTGAGTACTGGACGTATGAAGCTGCTTTAGCGACCGTTTGATAGAGAAAATCTTCTAGTTTTGTATGACGTATCAACTTTTTGAATTTGACGGAAATGAAGCAAGTTATTGCTCCGGAAAGTGTAAAAACTCGTGCTCGTCTCGAATTTCCTCGTTATTTGATCTAAATTTGTTATTTCTTATAACTTCCTGTAATTTCAGTACTGATTAGAAAAAGCTCTTCACAAAACTCCCAAATCTGCTTTCAGATTGAAAATTCGTCAACTTTGAAGAAAGTTATAATCATTTGAATATTTGTTCAAATTTCAATAGTAAATAAGCTGCTCCACGGTCAACGCCAAAGTCCAGTCAACACACAGCTGGCGAAGGCTTTTAAGGCTTCCTTTGAGCGAAAGGGGGACGTGTAAATTGAGAACCATAATCTGTGTAGTACTAGAATTTGGTAAGTCTTGTGGAGGAAATAAATAAAGAAGAGATGTTGTCATAGTATGCCATTTTTAGTGACTAGTTTGTCGTTTTTTGCTCCGTTTCTCGTTTGCTCGTTTGACAGGACTCATCATTAATGATCATTCTTTGACTTTTTCACTTTTATACTTTTTAAACGAGTTTTTTTGTGGACGATGGGGTAGCAGGGCTTTTTTATGAGCAGTTTTGGTGGAGAATTAAACAACTTTTTCATAGTTCGGCTTTTAAAGAGGGTTGTTTCATGGACTTCGGCCTTCGGCAGAGGGGGGGGGTCGTATTTCCAAATTTTCCTCGACGCCTCGCTTGACCCTGCGCACCGCTCTCCAGCCATCGTGATCACTGGCTCGGAGAAGGATGATTTCTGCGTTAAGGAATTCTTTAACTTCAGGAGACTGCCATCACTCCAAGAACAGTCAGCATATTGGATAATATTTATGGTTGCTGTTTGTTTATTTTTTACTGCTGGAAAATCACTCAATTTTAGCCAGAAATTGTTCGACACACTACGGTTATCCGTCAGAAGTGCACATTGTGAGGACTACCGACGACTACTTACTCGAACTCCATCGTATACCATACGGAATAAATGGTATGCTTACAATTATTTGTGATTTGTGATTATTTGCTTGTTTGAGTAGTTATTTGTTTATCTAGTTATTTATTTATCTAGTAATATTCTTCAGAAATTGTTCCCCATATTTTTGTATGCATTTCTGTTTTTTTTTTCATGTGTTGTATTAATTTCAATCTACAGAGATCAAACATTGTTATTTTGCTATTAGCGCCATGTTGGCTCAAGTGGAAATCGCGGCGTAGACCGCAGTGGGAGCATTGCGCGTCGCGCCAGTCAGCCACTTGCCCGTGTCGTGAAGCGACAGGACGGTGCGACGTTTCCGCCACCTTCAATCGCTGCACGGCGAGCATTCAAGATGTGCAGCGCTTGGCGCGACAAAGCTTCACACTCCGCCAAATTGGACCACGCTAGTGTTTGGAGCCAATCGATCCAACAATTTCGACTTCTAAACGCCGTAAAATCGATAATCATTGATGATGGTTATCGATTTTCATCAGATCATTATGGTTAGAAGCATGCGCTAGTGATGAACAGCTGAGATGAAAAGAACGTCCAACTAGGAACTTGCTGGAAAAATGTGCATTATTGACTCACTAGAGAGTTGTGCCGCCATTAGTCAACAAGCGACGAACGCGCGCGTTAGTGCGGCGTGATCTTATGCGCGCAATTGCATTCAGCGACATAATTTAACTTTCCTCACCCTGTACTCTAGGCATACCTAATTTAGCCGTGTCTGCTCTTACGCTTATCGAACGCTTCGAAGGGCTCAGCGCGGTTTCCCAATGTCTGGCACGCGACAAATGTCGCCGCGATGTGACCTAATGACTTCATTCAAAATACTACATTACAACGATTTATTGAATTTTCAGATGAGAGCAGTCCTGAATCGACCGGTTCTGTTTCTCCAACACGGCGTGTTCTCGGATAGTTTCGCTTGGACGGGGAATCTGGCGAACGAGTCGGCTGGTGAGCCAGTTTTCTACAATTTTGTGTTCATAATACTCGAGTGATAGTGATACTGATCGGTGAAAAAACCACGATACTTGAGAATATTAAAAAAAACAATAACAATAAACAATAAACAACAAACAATAAACAATAAACACAATGGTGAAATTTAGCGTTTGTCTTTGCCGAACGCCGGCTTTGATGTGTGGATGGCGAACTCACGAGGGCACACCTTCATCACAGAAACATATCGGTTACGGACCAGACGAGGCACGATTCTGGAATTTCACGTAAGCTTTATTGAATCCGCTTTTATTAACGTTCTTAGGCTCTAAAGGCGAGACAATACAGAAAGTGAACGACAAAAAAAAGAACAGCAGAAATCAGGTTTTCCAGTACACTCACATGAAATAATAAAAACTTCGCTGAAGAACTTATGGACTTTTAAGGCTTAAAGGCAGTGAGCACGAAAACTGAAATGTTGATTTGAATCGAAAGCAGAGTGCGAGTTCGTGGGCGATTAGTGGGGAAACGGTAAAATAGGTTTAAATATTATCGGAAAATCGAGCCGTTATACCTTCTTTAGAAACCTTTTGGACGAATTTAATGGTTTAGAAAGCGACTATTGCTTAGAGTACCTTTAATCGTACGTAACACGAAAGAACCTCAGATGTCCCGTTTAAGTGCCAACTTTCACTTCCGAAGAAATAATCGAAGCCTAATTGCAAAGAATATCGCAAAAGGTTAACCACCATGCTCACGAAGACGGGCGTAGGGCGGAGGGGGGTCGATTTTGGGTTGCGAGCTTATCTGCGTTGGCAACAAAACGCCCACACCATCTTTGACATTGCGCCTCCTAGCTGCTGCTCCCACTGACGTTATGCCTTAGCAGAAGATGCCCCCCCCCCGTCTCCCGTACTCGCTGCCTCTAAAGGGCACCAAAACCTTACATCAGTTGACTATCAGAAACTACGATACAAAACGAGGAACGTGCAGAACGGTAGAGTCGGTACCATTTGGGTCACCATTTTCTAATAAATTATGCAAAAACGTGATTTTATGATTATGCTGCACAATTATTGATTTCTAGGTGGCAAGATATGTGCACTTGACTTGACATCCTCGATCGATCACTATGTGCTGAACACTACGAAACAGGTAGCCTGATCGTCACAAAACGAACTGTTCATAGACAAGCATTCCATAATTTTCACCAGAGCCTTCATAAAATCCTACTTTTTAGGAAAAGTCTTTACTTTGTCGGTCATTCCCAGGGAACTGTGCTCATGTTTGCCAAGCTCGCAGGAGATCCAGATTACGCCAAAAAGGTGAGCTACACACCCTTAAAGGCAGCGATCACGATGGCTGGAGGCGGAGCGGTTTCGGTGACGTCATTAAACGTCATTGGTGGAAGGACGCTAGGATGCGATTCCAACCACACTCCAGTACGGAGTATCCCCAAGAGGCCCGTCGCGCGGCGAAGGAAGAGACGCAGATGCGGCAAAGGACGAGTCGCAGCGCGTGCTGTGCGATATGAGACGTAGTATGGTACACTCTATTTAACCTGACGCCTAACCGCTACAGTATGCGCTGCGACTCGTCCTTTGCCGCGTCTGCGTCTCTTCCTTCGCCGCGCGACGGGCCTCTTGGGGGACACCCCAAGTACGTTATAAGAAGTCTGTTCCACAATGACGTCAACGTCGCCCTCCAGCCACCTTGATCGCTGCCATCAAAGTGACAACCCTGATAGTCTCTCAATTTTTATCGATAATTCTAATCAATAATCTCTTTTCGACTGTACAGCTCAATTTAGATCCGTCAATTTCATGCACTAGCACCGGTAGCTACCGTATCCCATATTGGTGGACTATTTCGGATATTTGGTTATCGATTGATAGATATAGCCAAGGTCAGTTGTAGTTTTGTTTTTGAGGGTTACCAAAACAGTCACAAGGTAAAGCTCAGAGCCTCTGAGCAGGCATCCCTGCAATATGTCTATCGTTTCAGATAAGATAGGCAGGGATCGAACTAGTGAGCTGGCTAAGTATGACTTCTGTGATAACTGCGCTGTTATCCATCGCGTTACAAAACCAGCAAAGAACTTATACACAATGAATCGCAAAAGGTTATGATTGAAATACGAATCGATTTTCAGTTCCTGCTGGCTAGACTTCCGAATGCCCCGCTGATGTGTTCCGAATTTATACAAAAAAATTGATGAAGCTATTTTTGCAGGTGAGAAGACTTTCCATCTTCGTATCGTGTAAATTAAGAGAAGTTATCTCTGTAGTATTAGAATTTTGTAAGTCTTGTGGAGGAAATAAATAAAGAAGAGGTGTTGTCATAGTATGCCATTTTTAGTGACTAGTTTGTCGTTTTTTGCTCCGTTTCTCGTTTGCTCGTTTGGTAGGACTCATCAATAATGATCATTCTTTGACTTTTTCACTTTTGTACTTTTTAAACGAATTTTTTTTGTGGACGGTGGGGTAGCAGGGCTTTTTTATGAGCAGTTTTGGTGGAGAATTAAACAACTTTTTCATAGTTCGGCTTTTGAAGAGGGTTGTTTCATGGACTTCGGCCTTCGGCAGAGGGGGGGGGTCGTATTTCCAAATTTTCCTCGACGCCTCGCTTGACCCTGCGCACCGCTCTCCAGCCATCGTGATCACTGGCTCGGAGAAGGATGATTTCTGCGTTAAGGAATTCTTTAACTTCAGGAGACTGCCATCACTCCAAGAACAGTCAGCATATTGGATAATATTTATGGTTGCTGTTTGTTTATTTTTTACTGCTGGAAAATCACTCAATTTTAGCCGGAAATTGTTCGACACTACGGTTATCCGTCAGAGGTGCATATTGTGAGGACCAGCCGACGACTACTTACTTGAACTCCATCGTATACCATACGGAATAAATGGTATGCTTACAATTATTTGCTTGTTTGAGTAGTTATTTGTTTATCTAGTTATTTATTTATCTAGTAATATTCTTCAGAAATTGTTCCCCATCTTTCTATGTATATTTCTGCTATTTTTATGTATTGTATTAATTTCAATCTGGAGAGATCAAACATTTATTCTGCTATTTTGCGCCATGTTGGCTCAAGTGGAATCGCGTGGACAGCAGTGGACGCATTGCGCGTCGCGCCAATCAGCCACTTGCCGTGCGACGTTTCCGCCACCATGAATCGCCGCACGGCGACAATTCAATATGTGCAGCGCTTGGCGCGGACAAAGCTTCACACTCCGTCAAATTGGACCACGCTAGTGTTTCGGAGCCCGATCGATCCAACATTTTCGACTTCTACACG